TAGGGCGAATATATGGTCAGCTGTGCTTCGGCCGGGCCGAAAGTCAAACTGATCTTCTTGTAGTGGAGTCAGTTATTCCGCGGCACCTCCTTTCTGACACCTTTGCGTAGACTTTACCCAGGAGGCTCAGTAAAATAATTACCAAATAATTGGAGCACTCTGTGGTCTCCCTTCTTGAACGGCTATTGCAACCCGTATTTTCCAGTCTGCTGATGCCTTCCATTTAGCGTGTTAGGCACCATATGCCTCGTTCGCATATTGCTTTGAGCATTTCAGGGCGAATTTTATCAATTCCAGCAGCCTTCACACTTTTCAAGTTTCTCACAGCTTGTGTGGTTTCATCTGCAGAAATAGTAATATTCGTTCCCTGATGCTTTACAGGCAAGTCTTCCTGCGGTTGCTCAGGGTTAAGCAGTTCCGCAGTGTACTCTCCCTGAAGAATCTCCTCATCCTCAGTAAGGGAGTGTCCAGGCCTCCTGTAATCTCTTGGACTGCCCTGCTTTTCACCTCGGAGTCGGCGGATGGTCCGCCAAAATACGTCGTTTGCCGTCCGGTAATTCGACTCTGATACCTCCCCGAACTTTTTTCAGAAATCAGCTTTGGCTTTCGCCACTGCCTTAGCTTCCACCTTTCGCGCTTCTACAGATCGCATGCGAGTTGAAGGCTCTTTGTTTCCAGGCCGTTTCTTAAATGCGGACTTCTCTTTAACTTTCTGTTGTACTTCTCGTGTCCACCAAGAAATTCTTTTCTGACTTCCAGGCCGTTTGCCAACCAGTTTGAATCCGCAGCATTCGGCTCCAGCCCTGAATACGCCGCTCTTTAAAAGCTTTTACTCAGTTTCCATAGCAGCGGTCATCATCGGGATCGGTTCAAACCACCTTACGATGTTGTTTGCAAGTTTCGCTGTCTTATCCTCTGAAGATTATGTTTCCCATTTGATTATCTGATTGTTTTTACCACCAGATTATCGCATGGTAATCCATTTCTCACAAAACAAGGTGGTGATCGATTGACAGCTGTGTGTCTCTTTTATCAAATCTATCATCGATTTCTACGCCCAAGCTTCCCTGTACCAGGTCTACTGATGCACGCTTCGAAGCTGATAAAGGTGCTTGTAACAGACTGCCCTTGTTTGCTCGAAACCACACGATTTCATGTCGTTG